GTTTCATATTGAAAAAATTCATCTACCGTGCCTTGTCCATGGATAATATAGACAATTTCCTATTCTATAATAGGGATCTCAAACCATAAATTACCATTTAACCACAGGATGATTTTTTTTTATTTTCACATTTTGTCATTTATCATTCCACCATGGCAAATTTGGCATAGAATACATGTAAATTACCATTTTACCGCAGCAAAATTTAGAATATGTATGTGCAGTGATGATAAAGTTGACTGAGTGATATTTTCGAGTGGAAGGAATGACCTGAGAACTAACATTGCCAATTCACAATAAAAAAGTTATTCTTGGGTAAATAACCACAATTTTGGACATGCTCAGACTAACAGTTGAAACAGTGAATCATTCACATCTTTATTTTCGTACATAGATGCCAAATCACATGATTTGAATGACGTAAAGTGAAAGCTGAAGATATAAATGCTAATGATGTTACCAATATCCCAGTATATGGGGTTCAAGACTGTGTCAATGGCTTTTTAGTGATTTCTCTTTCTAACCAAAATGAACTTGGTGATGAGTTGGGGCTGGGCTTTTATCCTTGAGATTGTACAAATAACAGTTTATTTGTGGCTTTTTAGGGAAATATAAGCAGGTTAAAGTTAGGACAAAAACGAAGTCTTGGTTATTGAAGGAGGAAACCAAGTCCACTTCTCATTTCCTGGGCAGTTGAAGAGGGACACTGAAAAAAATTTGTCTCTTGGCAAGAAATGTTTTGATTTTCTCGTTTGTGCTCTCTCTCTCTCTTGGTCCACCTCCTTCCTTTGAGAGAGAGAGAGAGAGATGTTGTTTTCATATGTTTCAAACTTCCAATGGAAGCCGTTGCCGTGATTGGCTCCATGAGACAAGTTCTGCTTAGTAAATGTAAGTTCTCTCAGATCACGTAAATTGGAGAGATTTTCATAGTCACTTGCCACCTCAAGCGGCTATTCTTAACGGGAATTAGACAACTGCTGGCTAACCTTGGAGATGATTCGCTCTAACAAAAGATAAGACTGATCCTAACCTTCCGTTTATGTTGTTAACAAAAAGCACCAACCTGGATATTTTATAGGCCCCTACGTTGACCTCGGGAAGTGGTAGTTGTGCAAAAGGGGAAGATGTAACTTGTTATAAGACATTCAAGATTGATATAAGCATACCAATAGGTGCTCTCTTTCAGTTAGCTGAATAAGTCCCAGAAGGGTATGATTCCTACAGTTCTTTCTGTTAAACCATCCAACACAAAACTGATCCCCACTTAGATAATAGGTCCACAATACTCATATACTAGTTTGGATGCGCTACTATACCAATAAGGAACAAGTTTTTACACTTCACCGCATGTGCAACCCCACCACTTGCGTGTGGAGAAGTAGATTGAAGAATTGGAATACACGATCAGAGATATAGCAAGGTGCATTTATGACATAGGCATAGACATTGGGGGAACGGAAATGCCAAATCAATGAAAGCCAAATGAAGTCTTCCAGCGGCCTCCTGAAGTCCAACTATGATACTATGTTAAAGTAGCTCAAAATCAATTGGCAATGAGTGGAGAGGTACACAATGCACATACACTATTTTGGGATGTGCCATTATGCTGATGTGATAAGGTCAAACAAGTAACCAAATTAATTTAGTGCTTCGATTTAGTTATGTCAAGATGCGAAGGGGGAAAACTGGGCAATGTTATGTGACTGTTTTGTGGTTCAATGGAAAGTAGTTTCCTGTCCATGTAGTGTGATGAATAATCTACCTGTTTACGAATGCTGTTTTGTTGAGATATCCCACATGAACCGAGTAAGTGCAGGTAAACTCAATTTTGCTATTTGAAACTGTTTGATAAATATCATGGATTGAGGTATGATCACAAATCGATATCATTTTTTTGTTTCAGTGGTATAATGCATAAATTTTTGTGTAGTGTGTACAGAAGATGCAAATTTGAAGCATAATTTTGGTTAAATTTGTGTAAACTCTTCTCAGAATCACATGGGAGCTATTCTTGATTTTGATTTTTTTCAGGGTACAGATGGCACAAAATTTGCAAAAGCAAGGACCTTTGGTTCTCAAATCACTTGGTGAAAGCAATCTTCTTCACCTAGTGGAGGTATTAATCTCCGATAAGAAATGGATTGTAGAATGCTCGTCCCAAGCTTCCCCTTTTAAACTCATTTGGCCTGCTGGAAAAAGTTCTAAATTTAGTAATCCTAATTCAAATGGGTTGAGATCTCTCTTTTTGGGCTCACCATTGCCGTCCAGTATGCAAGAACTAGCAGAGCATGGTGTAGAGAACAGACATCAAGATCATCCTCGTACTGGAATATCTCCATCTGTTATTCACAAAAGAACTTCTGGCAAGTCCAGAAGAGAGATACTTAGTGACTGTCAGAAGCTTGTGGATGACATTGTAAAGGAGTACCCAGAAGGATTTAAAATAGGCTCCTTTGGGAGATTGTTCCTCAAAAGGTATGGCTATTCTCTTGATTTACAAAAGCTTGGTTATCAAAAACTGGCATCCTTGCTACAAATAATGAATGGTGTGAAAATACAGTCTACTTACATCATCCCATCTGGAAAAGTCACCAAGGGTTATGGTCTAGAAACTGCTGATCCTAATGTTAAAGAAAATAACGTCAATGCTACTGTGTCTATTTCAACGATGGACGACAATCTTGACTCACCATGGGAGGAACTTGGGCCAATTGCCAATAATGGTCCCATAAGAAATGAAATAGGGTTAGGATTGAGTAGGAAAGGTGAAGAACCGGTGGGACAGATACATAATGACTATGAAACCCTATCAGGTGATGACTTTTCTGATTCAGAAGAAGAGAATCTACCCTCAGCGAAATCAAAAGGCCCAGGGAAGACTAGAATAGATGAGGAAGATAGCTCATTGCTACAGATTCTTGACTCGTGGTACAGCAGCAAGGAGGATAGCAGTAAAAGGGATGCATCAGGGACTGTTGATGGGATGGTGGATTGTTCCGGAAATGGTTTTAAGCAATCTGCTTCAGCTGGAGTTGGCGGCGTCAAGAGTGAAACTCCTGTGGTAAACTATGGACGGAAGCAGAGAGCTTCCAAGAACTACTCATTTGTCTCCCAGCAGGATAGTAAGGACGAGTTAATTGATGGCATATTGGGTAGTTTGAAAAAGTCAGGCGAGAAGTCGGCCGAGGCAAGGATCTAGGTTGAAAGGTGTTCAAGGATAGAATGGTGGCACAGTGTTCCTGGCTCTTTATACAGAAATTATTTCAGAAAGTTACAAGTTTGCAGAGGATTAGATAGGGGAAAAAAGGTGATAATCCTTTATACATCTTGCTCATATTTCAAGCATTTATTCTGCTGCAGATAGTTGGATGATTATTTTACTGGAGGTAAAAAAGGTTGTCCCCAGTATGCAAGGCTCTCGCCTATGACCAGGTTTTTATTCATACCATATCACTAGTTAAAGTCTATTATGTCATAAAGCATGTTCGAATGCAACATAGAGTACTGTAGATGGCGTTACATCCTTGCTGAAATCTATTTATGTGCCGTATGGGTACCAATTTTGTACCAAATTTTGCTTGATACGTAACTATCTAAATGTACTAGTGGTAAATGCTCTTTCATTCCTTGGCGCCTGTTGTTGGTTTGCCTCTCATCAACTGTCTCTTTGCTTCACAAACTCCCTTTGTTCTAATAGATTGTGTGAGGACGTGATGTTTGATGGTGTAGTTGATGATTCACGATAGGGTTGAGTTTGGATGTGAGTTATATGACACATGCCATGCTTCAATATGCCTATTGTGCCTAATATTTTGAGATGGAACTTCGTCAGTTGAAAATGGGTTGATAAATAAGTGAGCATTCCAATTTTTCTTTAGTTGTTTGCAATCATAGTAAGGTATTTTTGGATAATTCTCTGAATCTCTCATCATAATAATGGTAATGCTATGTCCTTGTCCTTACGTTGGCACTTGCAGTTGCGCTCACATGCTAACATCCACACATGTAGGTGTAAACTATTTTGCGTGTGAACGTTGGGACTCATGCACACACAATTTGCACATGTGGGTATAAATCTTTGTGTGTGGACAGTGTGGATCGGCTGCATGCTAAGGGATTCTTCTGCATGGATGCATTCAGTGTATTACTTATGTAGCAAGATTTTTCATTTTTTTCATGGTTATACTATCTTCCTTGTGGAAGCTTGATGGATGGTGCCTTGATTTATCCGTTTGCCTAGAAACATGAATCTGGCTGCATCATTTTCTCTAGTTTATTTAGGCACTTGTGCCTTAAATAAGCTTCTTTGTCATTAGAATCTTGTTTGTATTTTGGCCTCTTTGATCTCGTATTTGCAATTTCCAACTGATAAACTGATAAAATTTAATTGCATTGAATCGTAGCATTTGTTTTTTGTTGTCTCAAATCTTTCAAGACTGAGGGAGATAGTCTAGTGGTTGGGGATACGTCCCTTCTCTGTGTGTCAGTCACGGGTTTGAATTTTATCTAAAATGTATGTTTTCTCTCCTCTTTTGATGTTAAGAAAGAATGGAAAAAGAAAATTTCAACACTTTGTGTAACATAATTGTCAAATTGAAGAGATCATATTGTAAAATTCTAAAAAACAAAAAAGATAAAGATAAAGAGGATAGGAAGATTAGATGTTAAAAGAGATGAGAAAGCAATGTTGGTTGTGCCATTTGTTAGCAAATGAGCAATGGTTATTATATAGGCAACATAGGCGAGTAAAGCATCTTACAAAAAGATATTCAAGAAATTAGGCAATTGGAGAGGAAAGGTTTCCCAATCCTCTTTCCAACAATTTCGTTTTTTTATATATCACATATTGATTTTAAGTTTGATTTGAATTTGACTAATTGAATATAAATTGGTATTTTTCTCAAAGTATTGGGTGGGAATCTGTATTTACAATGTCGTATTTACATATTAAAGTATGGATCTATCAATATTCCATCCCATTGTAATTGGATCAGAATTATAAAAATAATTAAATTTAAGGGAGGATTATATTCAATCTCCTTTAGGTTTATCACGTAATTACTCAAATTCTCTGACATTTAAAATATTACACATAGACTTTCTGAAATTTGTACGTGCGTAACACTTAGACTTATGCTGTAAATATATATGTTAATAAATTACACCAAGACCTCTTAAAATTTATAAACATATATTACTTAAACTCATTAAGTTTAAAATGTTATACTTAAACAAAAAATACTTCAATCAAAGATAAAATATTAAATATTTTAAATTTTATAATTAAAATTTATGTTTTATTGTATCATTTATTAAAATAAAATTAAAAATAAAAATTCAATTTTTTCTTAAAAACTCGTAATTAATATACAATTATATTGTCTATTGGAATTTAATTTGGTAATTTAAACGACCAAATTAAAATACCAGACTACCACGATTAAAGCTAAAGGATATTATGTCCATTACAATTTAACCATTTATTTAATTTTTTAGTTTTATTCTAATAAATACTATAATTATATACTAACTATGAATTTTTTTTTTAAAAAAAAATTAAATTTTTATTTTTGATTTTATTTCAATAAATGACATAATAGAATATGAATTTTGAATGTAAAATTCATATTTTATTATGAATGACTTAGACTCCTTGTTTGATTTTTTTAGTTTTATTCTAATACATAGTATAATTGTATATTAATTACGATTTTTTTAAAAAAAATTAAATTTTTATTTTTAATTTTATTTCAATAAAATAATATAATAGAGCATAAATTTTAGTTGTAAAATTTAAATCATTTGATATTCTATCTTTGATTGGAGTATTTTTGATCTATATATAATATTTTAAACTTAATGGGTCTAAGTATTACATACTTATAAACTGTAGGGGGTCTAAATATAATTTATTAACTAATATATTTACAGCAAGAGTTTAAGTGTTACGCGTACAAACTTCAGGAGATTTGTATATAATATTTCAAATGTCAGGGGGTTCGAGTGATTAAATAACAAACTTCAGGAGACCTAGGTGTAATTCTCTCTAAATTTAATGATTATTTGATGAGTTCATTACATGTAATTTGCTAAAATTTAGTTTTACTGGATTTGTTTCATATTGAACTAAATTTCTAAATTTTTGACAAATTTAAATATATATGTTATATGAAATTGGTAGATTTTAATCGAATTCTATTGAGTTCTCAAATAGAATTCGAATAGGATAAATCAAAATCTAAATCCAACCCGACCTATTAATATGCCCATCAACATTTATTCAAGGACAACAAGCAATGCTAACGGGAAAATTTGTTAAAATTGAGGTCATATGAAAGTGAATTTTAAATATCATATTGAAATATTAGTTTTAACTATTTACTTTAATTTTAATTCTAGTTATTAGTGGTAAAAATAATAAAATAATTTTTTTTATAAATTTTTTTAGCATTTTTTAGAAAATGCTATTTTGGTTAGTATACATCTATTTTTCAGTCAATTAGAATATTATATGCGTACATTATGATCAATGGCTATAAACGAATCCCCAAATATCTATAACAGTAAATTATTTTTCGATTCACTAGCAATTTTTTTTTCCAATTCTATACACACCTAATGAAATCATTTTTTTCTTTAATTAATTACACATTATGTATTAATAAGCGATTCACATATTTACACGAAAACCCTAAGATAATCTACCAAAGCGAAAACAAACTGATTTAAGTAAAACTAACATTTGGTATGAAACTATGATTAAAAGAAAAACAATCTAAATGCAATACGACTGACTTAATTGACACTCCTAGTTGAGAACCATCAAAGTATAACCGTTTGAAGATAGACCCTTCACTCCTGCATTAAATTCATAGGAATGCTATCGTATTGTCAATAAAACTTGCATAAACCCTCCAACTAGCCCTATCATTTGACAATTTTTACTTAAGAGGAACCGAGTCAAAAGAACACATTGCCTCTCACACCACGTTCACGTTCAAAATAGCTTCGTAATCACTCACAGGTCATATTCACAGTTGCAATGACTAGGGAGAAATGGGAAATGAGAACCCCAAGCTCTGTTTCTCATTGAGCTTATATTACAGGATAATAATTCATAGTAGTATTGTATTGTTTGAAGAGGAAAAATTGTTGTTACAGGGATAGACCGCCTTGTGGCATCCCAGTAATCCAGCAGAACCACGTATTAAGTCCGTCCCATCACCGATGATTCCTCCCCGGAAAACCGCCTTTATTCTTGGCAAAGAAGGTATTCTTTGGTTTTGGTATGTCATGGATATCCATTACCTGGATCGTTCTTTGCTTTTTGGCTTCACAAATCAAAACACAACCACACAGAGAAGCTAATCAGCACAAAAACCCACAATGAGATACAAACACAGATTCTAAAATTCCATATCTAATTGGGGAATATATTCAAACCATTTTGAGCTTCTTGGTAGTTCTCGTGAAGCCGCCTTCTTGCTGAATTCAACTTTTCAGCATCTATGAGTGTTTCCTTCTGTGCTCTCTGCAAATTTTTTATTTTCCAATGAAGTAACCAGCCATATTAGTACTAAAAATCTATACTCTATTCGGCTGCTGAGAAAATTAGCAAGAATAAAAGAAAGGCAAACTTAGTATGCAGAACACTGTGAACTCGATAGTTGATGGAATGAAAGATTCCACACAAAATAACCCATCCCAAAAGATCCATTTTTTTCCCCTGGAAAACACAAGCAGCAGAACCCATAAGACCCACCATTTTGTTTCTTTTTACAGCTTTCTCAGCAGCCAAACAGAGTATTTGAAGGTGAACCATCCTACTGCATATGTATATATGTATATATATACACAATCATTACGTTTGGAGGAGGAACAGAAGCAGGTACTGGAATTGATTGAGGCCGCTTGGTAGGAGTCTCTCTTTTAGGGATGGCGTTTGGTCTCTGTTCTGGTTCTGAATTGGTCTTGTCTGAGCCAGAACTCCAGGCTACAATGAATTGCGAAAAAAAAAAAATGGCCAAATGCATACGAAGAAAAGCAGAAATGACCTAGAGGAACTTGGAATCTTGGGATGTGATTCGGTACTTACTGTGTGGATTTGGAGAATAAGCAAAATCAGGAACCTGTAAATTGATATCACAATTCTAGAGCTCAAAAATTGGAATTTTCAACACAAAATTCCACAAGCAGTAAGATAAGACTGTTAATTTCACCTGGTGATGACCATCTTTGGTATTCTTTGGTAGAATGTTCTGCTGTGGCGAGTCTCCATCAGCTGCCACCAAAACCATCACCATTAATGAACACCTTTTTTTAGTTGAAAAAACACAACCTCTCTTCACAGGAATTACTCAGGATAGTTGTGATTGTAAATATATGGAGAGAGTACTACACAGCCTAGACATAGAAATAATGGATTTGTTTGACAATACCAATGATAGTAGAAGCATCTTGTTCAGGTTGGTTCACCCTAACCCATTCGTCCACCAATTCTTTCCAGTTTCTGCTCCATTAAAGAAAAACAAATAACCCCGTTCTTTGAAAATCAGTATAATTATACAATGGAATAGTCTTGAGTTTTCAAATTTCCAACTAACCGGACAAGTTGCTTCACCAATTTCCGCACTTGATCCGACGGATGCTTCCGGAATTGGTTTACATGTCTTCCAATATCTGTTTCCTGTTTATCAAGTCCCATGAGAAAGAATAACAGAGAGAGCGCACCAGCATAGTTCATCCAAAATAATAATTTTACCTTGAGAGCTTGGAAGGTAATCTCCATATCAACTAGATTTTGAAGTATACCAACCACAGACTCTTCAGACTATATACAGAAGAAAAACACAAAATCAAAACAAGCAGATGAAAACACAACAAAAAAATATTTATAGAAAAAAAAACATTATATTCAGAGCAAAATTTATTGAAATGAGACCTGGAGTGGATCTTCTAACCGTTCTTTAATTCTAAGAATTTTCGTAAGCTCATCTTCGAACAATCCTCCGTACGGATCTAGCTCACCTTCTTCATCATAATGTTCATCATCATCAGTTCCCTTATTTGACTCCGGAGTAGAAGGCGAGCCTCTTGCTTTGCCTTCAGGAATGCTCTCTTTCTCGACCGGACTCTTAGTATTCACGCCATCTCCGTTAGGCTTCCGATAATCGTGGCAGCTGCTGCATCGTTGACTCGAGCTCGCGTAGAGTTTTTCCACGATCGAGTCTCTCCGATCTTTCAATTCTTCACCGTAGTCCAATGAAGCTACGGCGATGGCAGTTTGGATCAAAGTCCACACATCCACATTTGAAGTCGATAAAATCACCCGAAAATCATCCAAATCCATCTACAATCGATTCCAATCAATATTAAATTTCACCTCTCTTGAAGCTCTCTCCCTCTATTTGACCAACTTTCTAGCTTTCTCTCTAAGATTATTTGCTAGATTCTTCAATTACATCACCAGATCTGAAAAATCGAATCAATATGTGAATGGCATCGTCAGATTACAGAATCAGAAACGGCGTCGTAAAATAGTCCTTCCATTCCGAATCAACAGGTAATGAATGAAATGAAGTACGATCAAATGATTGCAGAGAAAGAAAACCGTTTTAAGCTGAAACAGTAACAGATCTGAGTTAGAAACTGAACAGACGAACACTCCCAAATCACACCGTTTGTCGAAGATCGTTGAATTTCCTGGTTTTGCACCTTTTGGCTCCGAAAGGCTGTGAGTTTTTGGTTTATTTTCGGATTTTACCAAATGAATTTCTTCACAAGAACAGAGCAGACAAAGAAGGGCATAATTTGAAATAAGGTTTCGATTCTTTTTTGTTTTACGTGTTTATTTAATTTTGATTTTTCTACGTGCGTATGGTGAGCTGTGAAGCAGATACCCCCTCTTTCTTCTCTCTTTCTGTTTTAAAAAAAGTTTTGGAAAAATTTCAATTACACCCCTTCTAATTTGTCATATATTTAAAGACACTCTTTTTAGTTTCTAAATCTTCCCTGTCAAATTAAAAATATTAAGTAGAATGCAATTTTACTAAATTGTCCATGATATATTTGAGGACAAATTTCATCCATACCCCCTCTAGATGAATATATCTTCAATGAGACCCCTTCTAGATAAACACATCTTCAATGAGACCCCCTCTAGATAAATTTATTTTCAATGAGATCCGTTTTGTTTTCTAATTTTTTTTACGTAATAAAATTCAAACCGATTAAAATTTGATTCAAGTTAATTAAAATTTATTCTTTTATATATTAAAATTTTTGTTAATTAAAAATTATATTTTTTTACGTATTAAAATTTGGGCTAATTAAAATTTTGTTTGAGCCAATTAAAAATTATTTTTAATCGACTCAAAATCAAATTTTAATTAATTTGCATTGAATTTTAATCACCCCAAATTTTAATATATAAAAATATATGAATTTTAATTGACTTAAATTTTAATAAATCTAACTTTAATTGACACGAATTTTAATAAGTAAAAAAATATAAATTTTAATCGACTCGAAAGAAAATTTTAATCGGCGCTAATAATTCAGGTATAGTTGAAATTAGCTCCAATTTTAATATGTTAAAAAAAAATTTAATAGACTCGATTTTTTTAAAAAAAAATTATGAATTAGTATTTACTAACAAATTATTTACTAAAATTGTTATTTGTGATTTTTTTTAAAATTTTAACAGCTCGAATTTTAATAAAAGTTTATGTAAAAAAATTACTTGAGGTTAAGTTAGGGCATTTTTGGTATTTTAGATGAATATTTTTTTGTTAGAAATAATATTTTAATAGTAGGGGTGTTGGTGATGTTTAAATTAAACTAGAAAGGGTGTCATTAAAGATTCAGAAATTAGAGGGGGTGTCCTTGAACTTTTTTCAAAAATTTATTGTCTGAGTAATGTTGCGAAGATTTAAAAATTTAAATTAATTTATTAATTTAATGATATAATTTTATTATAATTACTGTATTAAATTAATATTAAATTTTAGTAATATTTAATAAGGCTCACGGCTAATGCAAAGAGAAAGAGTACGCGCTCGTTTGTACTCCAGCTTCTAATAATGGAATCTGAATGGTCTCCACATGGAAGAGAGTTGTGTTTTAACCTTAATTAATCCTTTAAATACAACTTCACCCCTAACCCTCAAAACTTTAAACACACCGGGTCATTTCTTATTGCGCAATCAAAGCACTCTTTAAAAGATACTACTGTAGTAGATAAAACTTAAAGAAACAGGTAATGACACCAATAAAATAAAACTTTTCATATTCATCCTTAATGATAATTGTGTGTGTGTGCACCGATTGGGTTAGTGTTGTAACTTCTAATAAGAGTAATGTTATTGGTACCTAATTTGCTGACTTATTCACTGTAATTTTTAGATTGACTATAAACCTCATCAAATATTAGAATTTGATGTTGATCTAATAATTCCTATGAAATTACATTATTATGCCAGCAAATTAAGTTAAATTATTAAATATAAATAGCATTATTCTTCTAATAATGGAATCTAAAAGGCCTCCACTTGGAAGAGAATTGTGATATAATGGACGAAAAATGCTACATAAATCAAATAAAATTCAAAAGTTAAAACTCAAATGCATATCATCTTTTTGATGAGTGTGGGATGAGTGAGTCTCACTAAAAAATTGATGAGACCCATTCATCTAAAGGATGATATACATTTGGGTTGTTATTTTTTGGATTTCATTTAGATTTTGTAGCATTCCTCGTAATAGACTTGCTTCAATTATTTTGTTCCTATCCTTCCGATTTCTAAACTTGTCCTCGTTTAGTTGCCGTATTAAAAATTGATGGATTAGATAAAATAATTCGGTCTAATACAATACAGAATGACAAAAAACAAGACTAAATATGATATTAATATAATACATAATTTTATCTAGTGCTTGGTAATACACAACATAAACGTTGGATAGTAATTATTTAATCCAATCGATTGTTTGGTTAAAGAATTATTTTATCGTATTAATGTTGAATTAACAAAAATACATTCAATCAGTGTTTGTTACATTGATGACAGTTTGATTTTATCAGTTAGAGTGTTATAATGGTAAATGTGCAAAATAATATGTTTGAGTTGGATTATAATACCACATCTTTTGGTGATATTAAAATACCTCCATAATACAGGTCTAACGTATAAAAAATATACGATAAAGATATTTTTGAAATTAATACGGTGTCAAATTTACTTACTAAACAAAGTATTAGATCCGATTAAATAAAAAATAATACAATTTAATATTTAATCCCATCATAATACGTCTACCAAAGTAATCCTCTTTTCTATGTCCATGCTAACGAATTTTGCAGAGGAAGTATCTGGGTTCTTTTCACATGGTATTCATTTTCTTGTTAGTATGGAGCAAGTTGAGAACTATTTAGATGTTTCAATTTTGACTTTTCAGTATTTGTCCCGAAGGCTCAAGCAGAGAAGGTGTGAGGGGAAATACAGGAGGAGATAGAAAAGTTTGCCTCTTTCCCTCTTCTCCTTTCTATCTCTTCCAAATATATATGACGTTTAATTGATAATTAAATTGTATTATATGCCAAAAAGAATGGAAAAAAGGTAATATGTGTGTCAAGCTCAATTCTCATCCATTTGTGGATTTGTCTCTATCTAATAAAAAAAGTGAAAGAACAATCCCCTCTTCATTCCTTCCTTGGAACTCTGGTCAGGAAAGTACTTAAAATGAGAAGCCATGAATCTCATAATTCCTTATTTTGTGCTATCCTTCTTTTTTGTTAAAAAAAAAAAAAGAATTTATTCGAAACCAAATCGGTGATTTGTTGACAAAATGAAGACATGTAGAAAGACAGTCTTAGTCTACAAGATTGACTACTTTTAATAGAAATCTTAGATGGATAAACATAAAAACATTGATGCATAGTTTGTTGTACCAATTTCATCTCCTCTTTTTGAATTTTGATTTGTTGTTTATATTAATGATGTTCTAGTTGGTACTTTTTTTGGTTTGGGAGGTTATAGTTTTTACATAAAATTACTTCAATTGGAAGTTGTGAAAAATTCAACATTGGATTGAAAGTTTAAGGTATTTCTTTTCTTTTTGGGTTTCCGAGACTCCCAACTGTGAACAAATATCATGTGTTTATAGAGATTCACCTACACCCACAACTTAGGTCAGTGAATGTATGAAATTTTGTCATAGATTTCTTTTATTTTTGCATGAAGTTCTTGAAATTCTCAAGCCAAGGCAGTTGAAAATTTTTAATTTTTATAAATATTTTGTCGACTAATATGGTTCTGGATATTGGACAATATATAACAACAAAATGTTACAATGTTAGCCTATATTGCAAGTTCAAATTTTCAATTAGTGGATTTTTTTATAAAACTAAGTTGTCGAGAAACACAAAGGTTGTGTTTACGTGAGAGGACGTTAAAAAAATGCACAACATTTTCGTAGTCTGATTTGAATGTATTTTAGCTTGGTTTAGGGTTGTTCAAAAACCATTACCAATGGATGTATAAAGGAGGGAAAAATAGTCAATACAAAATAAGAAAGGAGGGACGAGGATGAAATAACTTCCTCGCCAAGGGCCTAGAAGTTGTCATGACCATGATTTCTCCTACCTCATTCTCACTATATTAAGCCATAAACAAAGGACGATAACTTTTATACGACCCATAACACCAGTGAAATTTGACATGACACGAACCATAGAATAACATAATTCACTAATACGAGTTAGAATCACATGTTATATGTATCACTCTGAATGCGACGTGAATATAATATCACTCAAAAAATATCTATATTATTAATAAAAATACATTAACATAAAAAACTTTTGATTATCTATTTTATCCTTATAAAAAATTGCAAAAGATTACTCTACCTTTTTACAATTACTAGCAATGCAACACGTGTGTTGCAAGTGAATAATTTTCGTATACAAAATATTAATAAAAAATATTAGGTATATACGTACCTACATTAAATATCATTTCAAATCTATCAAATTAGGAACTAGATAGGTCAATAGGATGAAAGATAATAATAATTATGAACTAGATAGGTCAATAGGATGAAATATAGGATTAATAACACATTGAGTCTCTAAAGTATTTATTTTTTGTCAATTTCATCTGCAATATATAAATTTTGTCAATTTTGTCTATAAATTAGATCAATTTGGCCTTGACTGAGTTTTTGTTCTGCTAATATTTGGTATCTAAATAAACCTGTAAGATCAATTCCAATCGTTGAAATCAATTATCAAACAACACCCCTCTTCAAATGCAAGATTGTAGTAACATGTTTCAATGAAAATTCACCATTAATCAGTAAAATCAAATCATTAAAAAAAATAACAGCAAAAAATAAAAAGTATAAGCGCATAATTCCAAAACATATCGACAAACAGATAGCATATTTTTAAGTACAAACTAAATAGTACAAAATATACCACTAAAGATCTGCACCTTCTTGTTAAAATTTTAATTTGTAATTTTCTCAAACCTAGTCAGTCGGTCGGACAAGCTGGCCAAACGTTTCATGAAAAAAATTCATTAAAAAGTGAAAGTTCGCAATATACCACTTCTCTTGGTCTTCGCGATGAAGCCTTTCATTACTATTGGTGGAGTGACATCGTTGAAGCAGGAAGCAAGGCTTAAGAAATGAGACGACATGAAGTATTGAATTCCTATTGGAGGACATAAACGGGAGCAGTGACAACTTGTTCAAGTTCTCAACTGGAAGTTCTCTTTTTCTGTTGGTAAGATGATGCAAACATGGAATGGGCGGTTAAATCATGAAAATAGCAATCATCTGTAGGTGTGTTTGCAAAAGTGATTGGAACAAACTGTGAAGTCAAGAAAATAGCAACTTCGATGATTGAATTACATAGCATGTGAAACGGGTATCAAGAATTTATGGTTTAAGAATTCTGATTTTTTTTTTATTTATTCAACCGTCAAGAAAAAACATAAATATTATATGAAAAGAAAAAATGCAAAACCTCTTAAAGTAAGAAGTCCACTGGTTCGGCGATGGCGAGACTGACTATGCGTGCATCTGAGCGAGTAAGGAGCAGAAGAAATAGTAATACTTGATGAAGAAGATCACCGCTGAATCGTTATTATTTAGATTTCCATCCGTAACCGATGCAATCATTGTTGCTAGAAGCCTACTATCTTTAATTTCTAGAATCTGTTGAGTCACTAATAACAAGTGAAAGAAGTTATGCAGCAAGTGAATATAGCACTAGGCTGTCATCAAATTAAATCTGTATTAGGCAATTTCTGAAGACACAGGAGAGAGAGAGAGAAAAAGTAGGAAAGAAAATAGTCTGTCATTAACTTTTGATGATGCATAAATTTGTTTGTATATCACCTGTCAAGTAAGTAGTACAAAATGCAGTAAATAAGTAGAGGAAGAAAGAAAACAAGGTTTATAGTGGTTCAGTCTACGTGATCTACCTCTACTTTGAATGGTCAGGATCGTCGGATATTTTATTAACTCTAGTGTGTAGGGAGAGCAAAGAGTTACAAGCTTTGAGAGGTTGAGGAGAGAATTATGCTCGAATGACTGTGATGTCCCCCAAGTGTTGATGGAGCTTACAATTGATAGTGGCTTAGTGTAATAATTGAATAGGTAGTCTGACGGTCATAATGAGTTGGGGGCGTTTAATAGTCATAACGGATTGGGGTGACTTTAATAGTAATTAAATAATTTAGCGACCTCTCATCTTCTCTCCTCTCCTCACCTCAACCGACAAGGAAGTTTTGGTACTCTTCAAAGGACTTGGTTAAAGGATGAGAGAATGTTGACTCTCTTCAGGCCGCGTGGGAGAGGCTCCTGGAATGACCCTTACTCTAAGGTGGCGAGCAGGAGGCTCTTGAATGGCCCTTGTGTGCTCCCTGTTGATATAGCTCCTTCAGCTTGACCAGAATGACTACATTGAGCTAGACTTGATAGATCTCTTGGAATTGGGTCTTTAACTCAGACCGAATTTATAGCATGAGTTGGGTCTTTGGGCTTGGCCCATCAACTTAGTCATTTAAAATGAAGGATATGAATGACATATTTGTATTTTTAGAGGACAAATATGAAAGCAACTTTGTTTTTTTTCATATATTCTAGTATTTTAAAGTAGTATACATATAGATTTAAATAATGTATTCTTACTTAGATACTGTTCATTTATCTAATGGTTTTATTTGTATTTGTTTTGTTGATTTTAGGGGAGTCGTAACTAATATTCGAACTGGAGCAGTTCAAGAAGTGTCTATGGTCCGAAACAACAGGTGAGCAGGTGGTGAATTGATAATTCCTTTTTTTTTTTTTTCTCTATTTTTTCATGATTAGAATTGTTCCCCTCATGTGTTCTTTTTAGATTTAAACTCGAAATCATGATTGTTACCCAATGTCGCAATCTGTGAAGTCATTCTCAAAACCACACGCTTAGAGCATTTGTTGCAACACTCGAACTTATGAAATTATTTGCTATATCCAAACTATCACTATGTCATTATATGCACTTTAGTATTTTCAACCCAAGGGGGGCGTCATTCACAGGATTTATACTTCTAAGCAATTCAGTCACATTAATGTCTTGCAGTTTCCAAAATTTGGCCACCCACAATGTATGTAGGCAAAAAGAAAGAACAAGAATGAATGCCACATGATGATATTGACACCGGCTCTGTTTTTTCACAAGAAAAAATGGACTATATGTATATATATAGAAAAATCATTTTACAATTTTGCAGTGCACTTTTAAATTATTTTTAAACAAAATACAATTTTGTCAAAAAAAAGTAATTTTTATTATTTTATGGGAGTGACTTATACACGTTATATATATTTTAAATTTTTTTTTTTGAGGGGAAGAGAGGAGAACTTGAACCCTCACAAGATAAAGAGTACTATTAAACCAAAGACTGATTGAAATATGTATATATATATATATTCCTTTTAAAAATATGCATGTCTACTATTAAAATTACGCTTATGTAGGGAAGAAAGAAGCAACATTTACTTGGAAAAATAAAAATAAATGCAATTAAAAACATTTGAAACTAAAGATAACAATAATTTAAAAACGTTACCAAATTACAGTTCATTTCTTTTTTTCCAAGTAGAGATACAAATGAATTTGAGCACCAATGAACTTGGCTTAATCATTCAATAAATGTATTTGGAATTGTAACAAACTCTAAATATTTTGTTCAAGTTTATCACCATAACTCTATTCGAACTAGAGCCGAATATGCAAATAGTTGAGTCCAAGGACCACTCTGAGTCACAATCTGTAAACTCATGAGAGTAGCATCCAGACTGTCGAAAAAAAATAAAAACAACACAATACACGAGACTCCGGTCAATACATGATCTTATGTCACTCCTTTGAATTACTCTTATACAATTCACTTTTGCGGCATCCTCTATATATACGTGATTAATTTTGCACAGACTCATCGCAGTGGTGGAGCTGGGCCTAAGATAGTGCACCGTAAGGCCTTGCGTGAAGCTCTGGCCCAAGAACTTCCAAACAACACAATCCGTTTCTCTTCAAAACTAAACTCCATCGAAGTACAAAAACAAGAAGGCTATTCCATAGCTCTTCTCCATATGGAAGATGGAACTGCCATCAAAACAAAGGTAATTGAAATTAACATTAGCTTGGGTCATCTCAAGGCCCATGAATGCATAGTTGGTGGGAAGATAAGTGCACGATGGTGAAGGGGGGATGGTATATGGCGGGGTGTGGTTAGGAAGGGTGTTGATGGGAGGTTTGGGGGAGATTCAATGATAAATCATCTACCATTAATATGTATGGGATCCACCATTTACTAATGGGTCTCTCATATAGACACGACCAATGATCTATTAAAATGAGTAAAGTTCAGGGAAAGTGTAATGGAGAGAATCTAAATCTGACTGACATGATAGATAATAGGTCTGCTTGGTGTAATTCTAACAAAGTGTATGTAGTATACCGTCAAGCAAAGCTTTGTTTAAAATTTAATGGTAATTGCAGATGTGATGGGTTGCACTCAATGGTGGGTCGATGGTCGATGGTCGGAGCAAATTTGAAGGTTTAATACGAGAAATTTGATTTCAAGGGGACACTTTAAGGCATAGACATAAGTGAGTGGGGGTAAGAGTGAATTTTACCCAAACCAAAAAAAATATTGTAATTTGATCTATATTTCAGCTGAAGACTTGGCAGGTAACCAAGAATTCATACAACGAGAAGTCTTTGAAAACTTTGTCAAGGACTTCCATCCAATATTCTTGGACGTTGTCAACCATTCAATCCTCTCCTCATTAACGTGGGGCCCACTTATGTTGAGGTTTCTTTGGGATGTAATATTTGGAAATGTCCGCAAGGGGACCATTACAGTTGTTCCCTATGACACCTGATCTAGGCCAAGCAGGTTGTTCAGCTCTAGAAGACGCCGTCATCCTCGGCCGGCACATCGGAGAAACGGTGATCCGAGACGGGAGGCTTGTGCCGAAGGAGGCGGCCAACGTCATAGAAAGGTAAGTTAAGGAAAGGAGGTGGCATTCTTCTTGGTTGATTACAGGCTTTTTTCTGGTGGGGTGGATGCAACAAGGTGGTTCTGGGTGGTGGATGAACTTCATTAAGGATGTGATTTTCTATAGGCTTCTTTCCCACAGGGTATTCGATGTTTCAAAATATGATTGTGGAAAGTTGCCTACAATTTCCTCCGGCTATGGTGAGTATGAGTGTCCTCGTAAGGATGAAACCAATCAAGTGGTTTAGGGGGCAAAATAAAGTTCAATAATAGAGGAGAAAAACTATGATGACGGTCGTGGTGTATGGATTTAAAATATAATTATCCATAAAATAAATTTTTAAGTCACTTCATATCATTGCTGAGACTGATCTACATTTTGCAAGCCATGCATAGATCGAGTTGTGTTTGAAGAGGTCGCGTTTCTGCATACCAAGAACAACCGGTCACCACCTAAATACCCTCTCTCTCTCTCACTCTGACACACACACACACACACACACACTGATTGCACCTTCTTGCTGGTATCTATATAAATATACACCTCAACCCTTGCCAGAAAATGTAATCTAAATACTGAGATCTAAAACTAATGTGAGCAGAACTTAAAGGCATTATAATAAAATTGGTTTTTCGAAATGATGGAGACCTCGTATAGTTTAAATTCATTAGTGTGGATCATGTTCATAGTAATGTAACGGTTTACTACGTACACAAAAATTTACAAGAAAATATTAATTTTTCGAAATTATCGTCAATTGAATCAGTAAAGTATAAAATTCAGGGTTGAAAACAAGTAACAAATCTTTTAAAATTTCAATAATAGCTATATACAGGTCAAGAGAGCAAGTGGAAGAGACAAGTGCTACATATGGGTCAGACGGACTGGGGCTCTTCATCATCATCCTCGCCTAAATAAAAGGAAGAACATCGACAGAGATGGAGAGTAGCAAAGAAAGAGTGAGAGAGTGGGGGAAACAGAGATCGATCGAGAATGGCAAAGGCGTTTGGAGAAGAAGGAAAGAGAGCCTAGAGTCATGGTCATCGTCGTCCTCCTTAGAAAAGGAGGTGAGGAGCATCTGGTTGATTTGAGAAATGAAGTGTAAGAATCTGATTGTAAACGCAGAAAATGTCATTTGCAAGAACGTGATAACTTGCTGAACCTAGTATATATGCAATCAAAGCGCCAGTGAGACTGACGTTATTTAAAGTGTCATTTTAAATGACATTTTCTAACTTTAATTTTTGTTTAAAAACTGACACATGCATCATTTAGAATGATGTTTCTTAAAAATGACTAAATTTGATAGATAAGTTTAAAAGTAAGTACTTATAAGAATTAATTACTTGTCCAAAGGCATGAGAATTAACTTTTATTTTTTTTTAATTAAAACACTTACCTCTCCCCACCCTCGATATCTCTTAATCTCTCTCGATCTCTGCTGCTCCGATATCTCTCAATCTCTCTGTCACTGCTCTTGTATTGTGTTGACATGTAGTCATTATTGACTTCCGACTGCCTTTGACCCCACTTTCTTCTATCATTTCGACGACACTGGAGAGTTCCACTTTCTTCTATGTATTATGGCTTGTCTTGTTATACTCTTGAAGTAGAATGCGATTCTTTGATTCTGGTAAATTATGTTTTGAGATGTTGTGAATGCCCTTGGTCCTGTCTGGATATATTGAGGCAGGTTAAAGGTATTTTGAGAAGTCTGGAATTTCTCTGGGTGCATGTTTATATAGAAGTGAATTATATTGCTGACAGGCTGACTGAATATGCTGTTCAGAACAGGAGATTTGTGGACTTTTCTATTGATTTGAGGTTACATAGGGAAGTTGGCTTAGCCTTGTGTTATGATCAGCGAGGTTTGCTTGTGTTGCATAAAAAGACAGTAATGGTGTTTGATGACAAGGGTTAAGTGTTGAAGGTTTTGGTGATTTTGTATGACTGATTTGTTTGAAATGGGATGAAGTTCAGTGCTGTGAAGATGCGAGGAGTGTTTGAAGGCCTTGTCTTTGGACTTGCTGTTTTAGTGTTAATTTTTGTTGCATTTGATTGGTAGTTTATGTTACGAAAAGGTACTTTTGGCCTTTTTTTTGCTTCTTGTCATTTGTGGTTTTGTGAATAAATACAATTTCTCTTTTAAAAAAGAAGGGGGGGGGGGGGGGGGGGGGGGAGCGGCGGCTCCGGAACAAGTTTAGCTTTTGTGGAAGAAACTCTTACTATTTTGGTTTCAGGAGAGAAATGGATTCCAGAAATAACTTGATTCCACATGAACCAACCATGCCCTTGGGCTCTTATATCCTAGCAGGGCAAATGAATTTAATCTTATTATTATTTTTCTTGAATTTATTTTGTTCGTGGATATTTATGTGTTTCATGTTCTTTGGTCAGTCTCGTTAACGTCTTGTGTTGTTTGTTTTTGAATATCATATTCATTGGTCAGTCTCGTTAACATTAGTCGATAACACTAGTCGAGCAGACCATCTGTTATGAGAAACTTATTTTTTGATTCTTTTGTAAAATCTTTTGGCTTCTTTTATTCATTTTGGGTTAAAGTTTTGTTAAGGCATGATCTGTTTGCCTTTTATTCTATTATAAATAATTTTTAAGTAATAAAATAAAGTGTTGATTTGTTTGACAAAAAAAAATATTTGCATCAAAGAGTAGAAGCTTACACATAGGTGATGAAAAAATCCATATTAGTGAACTCCAAGCTTACACTTGGGTTTATTATGTCTTTAGATCACTGGTATCCCATAGTCACCCCTTTTTTTTTTTGTGAATTTATGTAAATATTTGATAAATTATCACTAAAAATATATCATAGAATAACCATTGACGTTTTTAACCAAATACATGCAAACACACACATATATATTTGATTATAAAAGACATATTTGTAATTGTAATACAAATAAATACTTTTTTAATTGGCCATCCAAACACAATTTTTATAAAATTATTTTTATTTAAATACTTTTTTAATGAGTATCCAAACAATGCTTATACAAGAAAGTATTTTTTTTTTTTTTTAAAAAATAATTATTTAAAAAATACTTTAAAATTCAATAAGTTATCTCAAACAATGCCTAACTACCATTGATTCATTTCATTTTTTAAAACAATTCTCAGACAATTGACCCACATCCTTAAGTGCTCTTCCCACAGCAATCTAGCAAACTTGCATCACAAATCAATCGCCGCCATTATTGGACTAATACATTTCTTTACCAACGCATCAAAATGTTTGCACTCATTCACTAAACAAAGAGTTTCCCGAGATTAGTATATCATGACATTAGTCTCTTCAAAACTGGAGATAAGACTTCATGTCAATTATCATTTTTAATAAACGGATATTTTTCGCGGAACAACATTTTAAACCTAAATTCCTCTAGATATCTAAATTAGCAAAAAACTCATGATCGGTGAGATCTAGGAACCATTATGTTGTAAATTCCTCATCATAAAAATGGGTTGATTATAGCATTAAGTGTCGTCAACTCTTCATCTGACATCTTTACAATTCAGCAGGAAAACTTCCCAGCATCTTGCTTTTGCACTTGAATTCCATTGTCCCTTGACCTTCCTGTGATAATAACGTTCCAAAACTCCCCTCTATATAAATCAAACACCTTGCTCAGCTCCACAATTCATATATTCCCTCTCTACTACACACAAAAACCTATGGCTTACTCTTCCAGGCTAATAATTCTCACAGCTTTGCTTGCATGTTTCATGGCATATACCGCCATGGCACGACCACTGAGCTCCAAAACAACCCTCATGGCTCGACTAAAACTCGATGGTGAAGAGAGCTCGTCGAACTGTTGGGAGTCTCTCTTCCAGCTCCAATCCTGCACAGGTGAGGTCCTCCTATTCTTCATGAATGGCGAGACCTATCTAGGCCCCGGCTGCTGCAGTGCCATCCGAACAATCGAACATGATTGTTGGCCCTCCATGCTTGGCTCTCTCGGCTTCACCTCCAAAGAGGGTGACATCCTCCGTGGCTATTGTGATGCTTCCGACTCTGGTTCTGCCACTACGCCACCATCACCACCACACACTGTCGAACCCAATGCCACCATCCCCACCACTGTTGTTCCGTAAATTGAGTTTCATAATAATATCCTAATAATTGACTGTAGTCTTTGATCTCTATAGAGTTCATATGTTTGCAGTTTTACCAATTACCACTGCTCTTAAAAGTATATTGTGTTTGATAATTTGGAGTTTGTTGTTTTCAAGAGGCTTTATAACCAATGTATGGTGTTCTACACTAGAACCAAAGTATTGGATCATTTCCACGATCTAATCATCATAATCCTTCCAGTTGTTCAATTCTTGTTCCATTTTTCTTTTTCTTTTTTTTTTTTTTATGCTAAGACTAAATTTGAATTCAATGGGTATTAAATAAATATATGGAATTCAAAATAACAACAAAAAACGGAGAAATTAATGATGACACGAATCATATCTGATCAAAATGAGGCCTTTTAGTATATACCAAAATACCAAATGGAACATGCATCATCCCTAATTGCAAGAACAATTGTCAACTCATCAAGATCTTGATTTACCTATTAGAGTCCCTGGTATACCAACATCTTCACCAGAAAGTGATCGGTCTGGCGAAGTCTAATTCAACTATGCTAACTAGGCTCATTGTCATTGAGGGAAATGGAAATCCCGATTGAACTAAGAAAAGTTCGTGGTGCTGAGGAGTGAGAGGCTGATGAGAATGAACAAGGCCGCTGGAGATGGTTGGAGTTGCAGCCTTGCAGGTCCATTGGTGGAGAGAGAGAGAGAGAGGCGGTTATTCGGTTGAGTATATGGCGGCAAATTGACGGTCTATGGGGATTTTCAAATTTGGAGATAGAAGAAAATAGTTGTGCTTTGCATTTGATTAACATAATTATATATCTTGTTTGCTAGATATGTTTTTGGACTGTGTTAGGATGAATTTCTTTTGATGAGTTTCCCTTTTCTTTTTTTTTTTTTTTTTTATGTTATGAAATTGTCAAATTTATGTTGTCAAACTAATATTTGTGGACTCGATACTTGCCGTATTGAGTTCAAGTCAGTTTAATCTTGAATGTAAATTGTAGTTATGAAACTTAAACCAATATCAACATAACAAAAAAGACTAAGCCAATGAATGACTAGTTTTACTATTGTGACAGCAGTTGAAAATGGTACTATAAAAATTCAATTATCTTTTCAAATAATAATTATTATGTT